GCAGGCCCGGGGGCCCCTTGGAAGCAGCACCTTGCTTTGGCAGATAGCAGCACCTGGCCAAGGGTGGGTGCTGCCAACACTGAGCCGTGTGGGGAGGGGCGAGTGCCTGCAGTGCCCCTCCCTCTGGCTTGCGCTGCTGCAGTTTGCACCATTCCTCCCTGTTAAAGGGAGGAGCTCTTGGCGGCTCTCCCAAGCAGAGGCGGGGGGTGGACGGGGGGCGAGGGCCCATTGTCATGGGGGGGGTGGCTCCATGGTGCCTCTCACCTGCTGTTGTACTATTTAGATGCGAGCTGAAACCATCAGCACCTTTGCCCTCTGTGGATTCGCCAATCTCAGCTCCATCGGGATCATGCTGGGAGGCCTGAGTGAGTTTGCAGTGCAAGGGGATGGGGGCTTGCGAGCAGGAGTGAAGCCTGTGGGGTATTGCTGGGGGAAGGCCCCAAGACCAGGATCAGGGCCCTACTTAACCGCTCCCTGCCAAGGGAGCTGTGCCAGGCTCCGCCTGGAGGGGGGGGTCATTCCATGCGGGACACAGACACAATGAGTTTCTGCCACAATCTGCGTGGACAAGACACGCCAGTGGGAGGAGAAATAGATGCTGAGGGGCAGGGACTGGGCTCCAGTCACCCGGCCACAGAGCTGGAATTTACGTCTCCTGATGCCCCGTGCCCAGGCCCTTGGTGATGACTCTTGGGCAGACCACATGGTGCCTTTGTGGCCTGCTGGGAGGAAGGGGCGAAGTTACGTTGTTGAGCACCAGCATCACTAACCATCTACTCCAGAGAAACAAGCAATGGGAGACCAGCCCTTCCCACCAGTCGCGGCCACTCAGGGCTGTGACTCCTCTCACCTAGTTACGGGCCCTTGGGGGCTACCCCAGTTCAAATTAGACACAAACATCCCTTAGTGAGCAGGGCGATTCTGTTATAAAGGGAATTCCCTTGCTGCCAGCCCAGCCACCGTGTCCTGCGCATCGCCCAGAGCCACAGGCTGCCGCAGCAGGGGGCCATCAGTGGCCCCTACCCGGCTTTTCCTGACTCCCAACTGGCTTCTAGGCGACTGGGCGCAATCTGTGTCCTCTGTCCCCCGCAGCCTCCATGGTGCCTCAGCGGAAGAGTGAGTTTGCGAGAATCGTGCTGCGCGCGTTGCTCACCGGGGCCTGTGTCTCTATGCTCAATGCTTGTGTGGCAGGTACGGGAAGGTGAACTGAGAAATTGCTGGGGGGTGGGGGCAGATAATCTGCGACCCCAGGTCAGTCCCTCAGAATGGGGGAGCGATGGCGGATAGGTTCACAGTGCTCTACGCTGGCCCATGCCCTCACGCCAGACACAACCTCCCTGGGACTCAACAAGGACCAGACAACCTCCTCAAAGTCGTTTTACTAGTGACCTGAGCCGAGCGTCTAGTTTCCTGCCGGAAAATCCTGTCGAAAAGGGGCCCTGGCAGTGTACGGCCACCACAGGCGGTGATGGGGAACCTGGGTCAGCCCCTGCTGGGGCCAGAGGCAACTGGTGAGGGAGGACCCAGGAGGCCACCAACCATAGGAACCTCCCTCTTGGGGAAGAGCTGGGACAAACCCCCTCTGCCCCAGGCCCTGCCTCCCCCAACCAAGGTGACCCAGGGGAATAGGGCCAGGGGGCCAATGCCAGCAGCAGGAGTTCCCTCCCTCCTGCCTCCCTGAAGCCCTGGCAGTGGGTGGCCTGGTCCCTGTTTTCCAGCTTCCCAGGGTGGCACTGACTCCCAGGTGGGCCTGGGCCATAGCAGCTTTCTGCCATGGCTCAAAGCCACGGCAGGGCTGGCAGCTCCAGGGGCTGGCTGTGCCTGCAGCCTGGGAGAGGCTCCTTCTGAGGGCCTTATGCTGTGTCCCGCTCCAGGCCTCTGGGCACTGGGGGAACACAAGGGCTTCCCAGTCAACCCTTTAACAGGCTCTCCTGCCCCCAGGCATCCTGTACGTGCCCCGAGGGGAAGTGACCGACTGCTCTGCCTTCCTGAGAGCCGCCACCTTCAACACCACCAGCTACGACATCTACATGTGCTGCCGGCAGCTGTTTGCTAAGTGAGTGTTGTGCCTTGCACTGGCCCACGGTTGGCTGGCCTGCCTCTGCGTCAGGCAGCTGGTGCTTTGGGAGCTAATGGGACCTGGACCCACCCGCACCAATCCAGGGTGGCTGATGCCCAGTATAGACGGTACCCCCTGCGGCGGATGCCTGGTTTGGCATGGAACCCCCTGCTGCCACTGGGGGAGCTCCACCTTCACTGTGAATGAAAAAACCCCTTTTAGTGCAAAAAAGGTCACCCAGCTGGGGACAAAAACTGCAGCATGAGGTGTCCTGGTGCAGGGAAGGTGGGGAGGAGGGGCAGGGAAGGTGTGCACTGCGGGACGGGCTGAGCTGGGTATGGGATGCCTGGGCAGGGGCTCAGCTGAGAGGCTGCGCAGCGTGAGGAGGGGCTCCCAGCCCAGGGAATGGTGGGACAGGTGGTTTGGTGCTCATTGGGCGGGTGGGAACGTGGGAGAGGTTGGGCCTAGAAGACAGAGCCCAACCTCAGTGGTTTGAGCATTGGCCTGCGAAACCCAGGGTTGTGAGTTCAATCCTTGCAGAGGCCATTTAGGGATTTGAGGCAAACATTTGTCAGGGATGGAACTTGGTCCTGCTGTGAAGGCAGGGGACTGGACTCAATGACCCTTTCACGGTCCCTTCCAGTTCTAGGAGATAGGCAATCTCCATCATTATTTATATTATTATTATTATCCCCGGGAGATTGACAGAGTGGAATGCAGGCCCAAAATAGCATCACCGTGGCTGGCATTCACGCCGATACTGGCCACTGGCAGCACGGGTTAAGGCGTCCCAGGGTGATTCCAATGGCAAGGTGTCTGTCTGGTGCCCAACCCTGACTGCGCTCTCCCTTCCAGCACGGTGCTCAGCAGCAACGGCACCTTGTCCTTCACCGGCATCTGGGAAGGCCTGGAGAGCAGCACGGCATCTCTGGCCCAGTGCTGCGGGCACTACAACAACACAGTCTGTGTGGGGCAGCCCTAGAGGAGATGGGCAGGCGCCCAAACCAGCGCTCGGCCTCGGCGCCAGCTACCAGAGCCCACGTAGACTGTGGGAACAGGCGCTGGCCTCACCCTCTGCAGCACCAAGTGCACAGCCCCATCGGCCTTTCCTCCTTGGACAGCACAGGACAGCCAGCAGCCCTATGCCCTTGATGGGGTTTCCTCCCCCAGTCCCTGGGTCTGTGCCCACTAGGGTGGATCACAGCAACTGCCCAGGTCGGCCCTCCCCAAGCTGGGCCTGCCTGACGACCCAGGCCTTAGCAGCAGTATTGGACCATTTCTGGTAGGACTTGCTGGGGACTTTGGCTCACGCCCCAAGGCTTTGTTTATGTCAAAACTACCTGCTACTAAAACCCTGGAGAGCCCTGGGTGCCTGCCAGTTGTTTGCGGTGTTCCTGGCTGGACCATGCCACCGCCCCTCAGCCAGTGGGACTCTGCCCCTGGGGAGGGCCACCTTGCCTCGCCTGCGGCATTCAGGCCAAATGTTCAGGGTTCAGAGCTCTGGGGCCTGATTTTCAGGCATGCGCAACCCCCCACCCTTCCCCAGCAGACAAAAGCAGAGCAAGGCGGAGGGGCCGGATGCCAAGAATGAGCACATAGCAGGGAGCGGCGCAGCCAGTGGCGCAGGCTCCCGAGGGACGTGACGACTTCGCCAGCTCTTGGTGTCCCCGCTTTCTGGGAGACGTGCCTTAGCCACCCCCCTTCCTGTCCCAGCTCAGGGGTGAGGCGCGAGGCTCTCTGGCCTGCGGCACGCGAGTAGCCAGGTTAAATGGTCTAATGTTCCCCTCTGGCCTGGAGCTCGGGGCTTTGCTTGCTCGGCCCCTGCCCCCTGGTTCACAAGTTCCAAAATGAGACACGCCCCGGTCAGCTTGTAGAAACAGACCCTCCTCCCTGGCCCCCAGCCCCACTGCATTGTGAGACTGGCCCCTCCTGCCTTCACACCTAGGAGCCTGACCACAGCTCCCCAGGGAGCTCCTAGACCCAGTGCCCTCTGGGCATGCTGAGCTGCCCCTTCAGCTCTAAGCTGCCCCATGCCTGGAGCAAGGAGTCACCTGGGAACTCTCCAAGAACGGGGGGGGGGCACAATGGCAAGGCCGGCTGCAGGGCGAGTTTCCCAGGGCTGCAGCCTAATGCTAGTGCCAGGCCCAGGCTGGGGGCAGTGCAGTGCTGCAGGAACAGCTGAACAAACACCTCCCTGGGGGCGCCTGGTTCTGGGGAAATCCTGGGCAGCCTCGAGAGTTACTCAAAACACGCCTGACATCTGCCCTGGACCCTGGTCCATCCCAGTTCCCTGCCTGCCCCTCCCCTTTCAGGCAGCTCTGGAACTTGCAAAATGCATCTTGTTCACAGGTGTCTTTGGCAGGGAGCTGCAGCCAGGCCCAGCTGCTCTCACGCTGCCATGCAGGGTCCCTGTCTGGAATGAGGCTCCGTGGCACAGGCGCCAATGGCAGCAGCTTTGCGCGGGGGCGGGGAGCAGCCACATGAGGCCCATGGCGGCCTAGGGCAGGAGGAGCATCTGCCAGGACTCAGGAGGGGCTCGTCGCCTGGCAAAGGGGGACAGGACGCTCCAGGTGCCTCCCAGGGCACAGAGTGGTTACTAACGAGTGCCCAGGAGGCACAAAGTTATCCAAGCTGCTCAAGCCCAGCCCAGGCTGCAGGAGCTCCCGAGGGCCCTGCTCTGGCAAGGCAACTGGGCAGCACCGGGCAGGGGACTGTCACTGGCGACCAATATGCTGCACCATGACAGCGACTGCTCCCTACACCTCCCTAGGGAGCCCCAGGCCGAGAGGGGGCACCCTAGGGGCAGCTCAGCTCAGCCTCTGTGTAAGCTGCAGCAGCAGCGCTAGGTGCCAGCAGCATGTCTGGGTGTGTGAGGAGCAGGAGGAGAGGAAAGTACTGTGGTGCCACCTCTCGGCCCCTGCTCCGCCCTCTCCTAGCCAGCCGTGCAGAGATCCCAGAGCGGGGCAAGCCCAGGAGGGTCAGGGTTCCCCTACAGAGACGGCAGAGCTGGGCAAGGCTCGTTTGGGCTTGTTTCCACTGCCAGGCCAGCAGCCCAAAGGGAAGCCCAGTGAAACCCCACAGCACCGCCCACAGGGAAAGGGGCTTGGGGCAGAGCTCGGCAGGCGTGGGCACAGAAAGAACAGGAGTTGGGGGGGGGGGAGACTTTGCTCAGGGACATTCAGCAGCCTGCGGTACGCGAAGGGGCAGCATGGTGCTTGCGTCTTGGGTGCACCTCATGACCTGAGCCCGGGAGAGCCCCCAGCACTGGGCAACGACAGCCCCAGCTACTGCAGGCATGTGAATTACCCCAGACTCAGCAACTCCTCAAACTGCTTCCCTGGCCTCAGACTGGAGCAAGCAGCTGGGCATTTACAGGCCCCGTTCTCTGCTACAGAGAAGAGCACAACGCCTGTGTCTGCCCCTTTAAACAACACGGCAGCCCCTGGCCGGCCGGCTGGAAGGGAGCGGCCAAGAGGGCAGTTCCAGCCTCCCAGAACCCAGACGAGATCAGCAAGACCAGAAAATGGCCAACGACTGGGCTAGACCCCCGGGTGCACCAGAGCAGCTCTTGGCCCAGGGAGGTAGGGAACTCGCCCTCTGCCCCTGCTGAGCCGGCACCCCCAGCATGAGAACAGCCCGAGGCTGCACTGATTTGCACCAGCTGTGGGCCAGGATTGCTCCCTCCTCCCTTGTGCTGGCAGCTGGGGAGCAAGGGTCGGACTTGGGTTCAGGGGGGAATCCTCAGCTCTGCCTTAGGGCAGCTTTAAATCCCATTTGTGCTGTGGCAGCGCGACCAGGGCTGAGGGGCCAGGCCAGGCTTCAACAAGCTCACTCAGGGCTGCCTGGCTGGGCCATGCTGGTGGCCTGGGAGAGCAGAGCCCTGACGGCAGCCCTCCAGCACCAGGGGCTGCTGCAACGCCCCCACCGCCCCGCTGCCAACGTGCGCCCACAGCTGCAGCCACACCCTGCTCTCGGCAGGTCGCACAGGGAGGCTGTTCCTGGCCGGAGGACAAAGGGGCTCGCCAGGCCAAGGCTGGGTTCTCTCGCCAGCCCAGCCCTGCTGCGACGGAAGTGGCTGGGGCTGTGTGGCTGCAGCTGGGGAAGCGGCCTTGGGTTGACAGCGAGGGAGCTGCAGTGCATCCTGGCTCGGCTGGGGGTGGGGGTGTCTTCCTCCCCCTTGGAGGTTTGAAATGTTCTCTCAGAGGAGCAGGAGGCTTGAACTCATTGTCCCCAGCCCAGTCCCCGCTCCCCCCCTGCCCCGGCACCAGGCACCTTCCGCTCTAGGAACCAGGGAACGAAGAGGTGACGCTTTAATTGCGCCCGACGGGCTCCGAAGGTAACACATTCCCAGCTGAGGCCCCTCTCTGCAGTCTCAGGCGGGGAGGATGCTGCACTGGGAGGCGTGAAGCACACGCGGAAGGCTGGCTTCACGCTGCGGGGGGAGGCGTCTCTCTGGCAGAAGCGAAGACTCTGCCACCTGGTTCTGTAGCAAGGCCTGGGGGCTGCCAGACTTCCCGGGCCCAGGACATCACACACAAGGCAGGGCCATGCCCACAGGGCACAGAGGGGCCAAGCAGGCTGTCCAGTGAGCTCCCACAACAGAAGAGCGACGGGAGAGAGGCGCTGAACTAGCAAGGCGGGGAGCTACGGCAGTATGGCAAAGGGGCGAGCAGGGCACATGGAGGGAAGACACCAGGAGAGGCTGGGAGCTGGGGGGGGACGAGGCCTTTGTGACACACATGGAGCGCTGCAGGGGGGTGGGGCGGCTTGGCACAGTCCATGGGACACACAGGAGCACCAGCCTGCAGGGCGCTCTGCTCTGTTCCTTGCTGTTTGGATGATCGCCGGGGCTGGGGCCTACGGGACGAGCCAGCGCCGTCCA